GCCGGTGCTAAAATTAACATTGGCCTACCGCTTGTACTAATAAAGTGCCAAGGGCCTAAGTGGTCACCTTAATATTTTAAAAAAAAAAAAACATATTTCTAATTTGGGTAATCAACTGTGAAGTAATCTAATTTAAGTTATGGATCTAGTACGATTGCTGCAATATGTAAACTATTAGTTTTATAATAATAATCCATAAGTTTAATATTTGTAACCTCATAGCCAGTTTGGTATATCATTTTGTTTTATAATTTCTTCGAGTATCTCAAGTAAAGTGTGATAAAGAGGAATAACTAATGACAGAGTTGGATATTCTAATGAAGACATAAAAATAGTTGCTAATTTAAATAAATAAAAAATAAGTTTCTAATAATAATGTGTATAAGAACATATATCCAAACTGATATATGACTAATTAGATATTTATATGCATAAATTTTAATTAATTAGCCAACCGTAACGATAAGGTCATGTAAAGTTAATTAATTGTTTCTCATACTGTATGTAACCCTGTTGGGTCAACTTTTGTAAATTTTCAATACAAAATTTTGTTATTTACTATAAATACTTCCGGGTGGGTTTTTAATAAAAATTTTTATACGTTTTTAATATTTTCTAGAGAAAGAAAAACTTATAAAATTTTTACGATTTAAAAATTAAAAGCTGGGCGGACAGGTCACTTTTAGAATTCTATGTTATGAGAAACAATTATTTAATTTTATATGGCCTAATAATAATATCAATATTAAAAGTTTTATACGTTATTTTTAAGACTTAATGTATTAAGCACATGTTAATTTTAAAACTTAATACGCACAATTTTAAAATTTAGTGCGCAAAGCGCACATAATTTTAATCTGAATTTTTTTTTTTACTGATATCATTAAAGAGATTATATCTGGCAAGTTATTGCTACGTATATATTTTGACCGTTTGATAACCTGAAAATGCTATCTTTGTATTTAATTAACTCCCAGCTCTTTATAATAAAACCCTTGTTGATCTTTTTTGTTTAAAAACAAAAGCAAAGAAAACATATATATATTATATATATATTTATTACCTGAATATGACGTGCATAGTTTTCCAATTTATTGTTACTTTTTATGTTGTGTAACGCTGAGTGTTATATATAAACGATTAACAAGAGTATGCTGTCTTCGAAGCAAAAGAAAATGACAGCACGATTTTCAGACCAAGTAAGTGAAACGGACTATATGGATGATGTAGATAATTCCGAAGTCCTTCAATTACAACAGCGGCTCCTTAGTGGTAAGTAAACTTAAGATTTTTTAGGCCTCCGCATGGGCCCGGGCTACCCATGGATACCCGCAAGTAGTACCATAAGGGCCGGGCTAAGGCATTGATTTCTAAGTCCTAGGTAAGGGTAAGGACTTAAAAGCGAAGCCCTTACACAAGTGGGTAGGGCTAGGGTATTACTCATTGCCCTACCCTTGCTTTGACGGGTACCCATTAGTTATATAGATGTTATGTTCAGGTGGCTTTCTGAGATCCAATGCAAACTAACTCACCACATATTATGATTACCGGAGTGGCGAGTAAGTTTTGTAACAGAATTTTTTACAGCAGCTCATGATTGAAACTACGATACTAACTATCTCAACTTTAACTACAGACTATAGCAAGTTTTACTGTAGCCCATGGTAGAAGTTACGATAATTCCGATGCAAGCTAACTCGACCTTAAATACATAATATGTCTCACTGGAATAGTGAATTCTGCAACAGGATTAGTGGTGTGTGCGCAATGCCGTAATTGGTCGTAATTTTTTTTTACAAAAACTCAATCGTGATCCAAAATTCCAAATTGGATGTATTTGATATCATTCGAGTTGTCTCGATGTGACGAATCGAATGGTACTCAAACCATTCAATTCGAATCACTGGATCGCAATATATTCTCGAAAAACTACTTAATAAATTACGGCACGTTTGCCGTAATTCATTGAATCATTATTTGCGAATACCTTGTGATCCAGTGATTCGAATTGGATGATTTTGTACCATCCGATTCGTCTCATCGAGACGAATCGAGTGGTATCAAAACATTCCAGTTTGGATCACTGGATCACGATATAATCGAGTTTTTTGTAAAAAAATTACGACAAATTACGGCATTGCGCTTACACCACTAATCAGGATATTTTACAGCAATTCATGATGGAAATTACGATAATTCCAATGCAAACTAACTCACCACATTTTTGATTACCGGAGTGGTGAGTGAGTTTTATAACAAAATTTTTTGCATTCAATAGAAATTACCTCAATGGTTTAAAATGATATGTATTATCGGTTAATAGATTAAGCTCTGAACATACGTCTGATTTTTATAGCGATACTTAGTGGGTTTTATTATTGCACTTGTAATTTTGCACACAAACGGGTAGGCTAGGGTATTGCTAGTACCCGGTCCATGCGAAGGCCTAAGATTTTACACTATATTTTTCTCGACATTTTTACTACTAGGTTAATTCTGAAATTGTTCATTAGAGCAGGATCATGATTTAGATAGATTAAGCGATGCTATAGGACGTCAAAGAGAATTGGGGTTGCTAATTGGCGATGAACTGTCTTATCATGTTGAGTTATTAGAGGAAACAGAGGGCATGGTCGATCATACTGAAAGAACCCTAGATAGAGCAAAAAGAAATCTCTCAAAGATTTCAAAGAAAGTTAAAAATAAAGGTAAAGATGAAACTCTTTGCTTATTTCAGATTCATAACTTTTTTAAATATATTATTTTATATTTTTTTTTAGGACATTTTTGTATAATTTTTTCATTACTCCTCATATTAGTCGTTCTCATAATTGTTCTTACTAAATAGACAATTTCACTGGTATAGAAAGAAGGGTTTTAAAATTTGGTGCACCCTAGTCACGTGATATGAATTACATAACAATATTGTAATAACTTTTTTAGTATGCAATATTAATAGTTTTAGTTTAATCTATAATTTATTTAAATTTTATTAATCAGATAAAAGAAAAATATATATATTACAGATTCGAAACTGTTACGCGTAACATATTGAATCGTCGCGTAACAAATATTTAAAATGATAATGTATATTTTTATTGATTTTTCTCAATCATAGTTAATGATATTATTTTGTAAAATTATGTAGTCTTTTTTGTGTAGTTTCTTTAGTGCAGTTTTATAATGGTTACTATTGTACATTATAAATCTTCAGTAACCTAAATTTATTTTTTTGATTTTTTATGGGAATTTTTGATGTGATGTGACTGAGTAGATCCATTTTCCAAAACTTCACGTTTCTTTTTGTGAATTTCTTTGACACCACCAAAGTTAGTGTCATGAAGATGCTAATAGTGATAATAATGAAAAAGAAGAAAATAAATGTTACATTTATAATAATACCATATTTAACCATATTTAGTCTATTCTATTAGGAAAATTTACCATTACAGCCACTCGTTTTGCTGTAGCAATTTCGTTTAAATTTTCTACTACTTTATTCTCGTTAATTTTCCATTCTTCCATTTGTTTATCTAAATTATATTATTATTATTATTATTATTAATTTAAATCAGATTACATGGTTATATTGTTTTGTTATATAGGAGAGAATAATTGACCAATTGGTTTATTTACTTGTCCTAGCCTCTATGTTGTGAACAAGATCTATGTCACGTTCCGTAACAATTGATAACGCTACACCACCTCTACCTGAAAAAGGAATTTGGTACAAGTTTAGATAAAATTTAATTCATTATCATCGTCTTATATTCTTGCCTGCTCTTGCTGTTCGGCCAACTCTATGAATATAATCAGCTGGATCTTTAGGTATATCAAAGTTAATTACAACTTGCACGGTAGGAATGTCGAGACCTCTATATATTCATATAATATTAAATAAATAAACAAAATAAACTAATAAAAAATTTATATATATTTTCACACACTTACCGACTACCAACATCTGTAGCTATTAAAACTTTTACAACTTCCGCTTTAAATTTTCCCAAACTATTTAGTCTTTCTTTCTGACTCATTGATGAATGTAAACTAGTACATCGAATATCCAGTTCTACCAACATTACGCGTAATAATTCAGCAGTTTTACAACGTCCACAAAATATTATTGTAGATTGATTTAAGAATTGTTCAGAGCGAAGAAGATGGACTAAATAAGGTTCACGGACGTGAGATGGTATGAAAATGTAATATTGTGCCAGAGTTGATACTGTTGATGTACTAGATTCAAATTTGATAAACACTATGTGTTAGATGAAAATACTAAACTTACACCTTTTTTTTATAACAAATATAAAACCAACTCTGATTTAATTTGATAAACGAAAGGTCTCTTGCCCGGATCTTCTTCAAGATTTTCTAGTGCTAGAATATTTTCTGTCATTGTCGCCGTAAATAACAACGTTTGTCGTTTTGAAGGTATATTATCAAATATGACATTAAGGTCATCTGCAAAGGTATCCGATAAAAGACGATCAGCTTCATCGAGTACCTTTATCGAATATATATATATTATTATCGAAATTTAATGTAAAGAATAATAAAAAAGTGGATAAAAAAAAAAAAAACAAACTTACTAAAAATCGAATCTTGCTAAGACTTGATTTAATATCACTACTATTAATATGATCTACTAATCTTCCAGGTGTCGCTATTACAACATGCGGTCTTCTTGAAAGTTGTATCGCTTGCGTCATCATATCTAGACCTCCAATTATAATACATTCTTTTATATTTACGCCCTTGCCAAGTACTCTAAATTGATCAGCAATTTGAATAGCCAATTCTCTGGTCAAATAGACAAAAAATTACTAGTCAGAATCATAACTTTTTTTTAAAAATAATTAATAATACCTTGTGGTAGTTAAAGAAACATATTGAGGGCAACCCTTTTAAGGGGTAACTTATTAATACCTTGTAGGAGTTAAAACAAGAGCGAAAATACCAAAAGGATCTTCAGACAACTTTTGTAAAATTGGTAATGCGAAAGCAGCAGTTTTACCACTTCCAGTCTTTGCTTCTCCTATGCAATCTTTCCCTAACAAAATTTTAGGTATACATGCACTTTGAATTTCAGTTGGGAATTTTATAGACATTGCGTTTAATGCATCTATTAACCATGAATTCAACCCCAATTGCTCAAAGCTTGTTGGAAGCGATGAATTTTTCGGAAAGGAGTCCATCTCATTGAGTTCCTTTTGTTCTGAAGATGACGACATTTAGAACAAATGTTTAAAATTTGCAATACTGCAATACTGTATCAAATAAAAAAAATTTTTTTATATACTGTAGTACTTTATTATTAGATAGCGATCTGGCAGTTCATTGGACATTCAGATCTTTTAATTGTTAGCACATGATGAAGCTTTTACAGTAAGTATTACAGGATTAAAAGTGTTACATCAGGCGCCAAAAGCAATTAGCTACGTGTATGTATTATTAGTCTCTGAAATTTTCAAACCTTTCTGTTACAAATTTCATATATAATAATAATTTCATTAAATCTACAACACCCTAAAAGGCGGTTATTCCATCATCCATGGAATTTTAAATATTTATCTAACCAATGTTCAAAAAAAAAAAAGAAAAAGAAAAGCTGAATTTGACTATATACAAAGTATCTCAACAATCCGCCAGGAACTATTTAATACCGAATTATCTTGCTTATTATATACTATACAAATATAACAAAGTATTTCAATGAACCTTCTTACGTTTCTTGGTCGTTTTTTCTTGTTTCGCAGCCATTTCTTTCAACTGTCGTCTTTTTTCAAGTTCTCGTTCTTGCTGAGCCAAATCTAACTTATCATTGCTCTAAGATATCAGCAAAAGTAAAATTATATAAATTAAAATTATACAAAAAATAGAATAAAATTGTATAAACAAATTAGTAAATAAGTTATCTTACCACTTTTGATTTGCCGACGTCACGTGGCAGTCCCTCGGGATTATTATGTACACGCGACTTCACCTGTGAAGTAAATACGGATGGTGATAATATTTCAATTTCATCAGCGTCATTAGCTTTTGTATTTTGAGAAACATAAAGTGGATCATCAGGTGAATTTGGGAATGCAGGATCATTATACGGTGTAAATAACTTGGTAAGTTGCGTATCTGAAAGGCTCGGTAGCTTAAGGGTCGCAAGTTGTGACACTGGGAGGTTTTCGAAAGCAGAAAACGTAGGGGCTGATGAAGAATAAGATAAATTTTCAGGAAGTACAGAAGTTGATGGGAATTTATCCTCTAATCACGAAACAAATTGACACATTAATATAATGAAATAATACATAGAACATACACAATATATTTAATCAATATACTTTGGGGGATAACGCGTTCTGTTGCAGTTCTAAACAGTCTTGAAAACGTAGGATAATTGCAGACATTTAGAGTCGCATTATTTTCTGAAACATTGCAATCCTGAATAATCTAAAATAATGGATCGTAAATGTAAATTCCATAAAAGAAGATTTATTTCATAATGATACAAAAAGTACCTGCTCGATTTCTTCATAAGATTTCTCCGGATCGAAAGACGGTGAAGTGTTGTCTTTTATTATTTAGAATTTTTGTCATCGTAATTAACACGTAAAAATTACCTTTTTTCTTTTTAATCAAAAGTTTATGATTCTTGGCATACCAGAGCTTTTGTCAGTTTTACCCGGAGTCTCTAATCGCATCAAAGACATTAAACGAACAGTCTCACTAAATCGTTCTTCTTTTGATTTGATGTAACTATGTAACATTTCTATCTGCTGATTATAAGCAGAGGTTACTAACAAGTGAGGAAGGATGAAATGTGTATATAATACTGTTGCACTATCAACAAATTTATCAGAATCAGGATTTGATGTTTTTTTAGGTGAAGAGGTTGGGATTAATTTACACGAAAATGACCAAGTCAATTCCATCGGGCCCACATTTCTCTTTGATTCTAACAATAGCTTTGAAATAACAAATTTTAATCACGAGAAAATAAGAATTGTAGAGTATATAATTAGCTATATAATTAGTTATATAATTAGTTATATAACTACAATTTAAAATTTCATACATTATCGTTTTGCAGACTAATTTTATGAGTGACGTCAGAGCGTTGTGGTAATAAATATTCGGATAAAAATTGCATGTATTCTGGTAAACGACCGTGGTCCAAAGTGACTTTCATTTCCTGCATTAAAAAAGTATACGAAAATGTAAGCTACAGAAGTTAACCATAAGACTTTTACAAGCCAAGATACGAATATTGGTGAGAAAAAGCTTTGGCTTTCCTGGAATTTTTTAGTTATCTCGTCAGCAAACAATTCTTCAAACCAGACATACCGTAAGTTAGTGACAAGCACGAGGTAGGATTGATCGGTAAAAATAGCTTTTGCAAGGTAAGTTTCAGTTCGATCATTGTTAGGTACAGAATTGACTTGTATAGGAATCCATAATGCGGATCTCAGAGTTTCGTTGTGGATCTCCGAGAAAGCCATGTTTTTCGAAACACTGCTTCACTAAAAATAGTAAGAGTAGATCAGACAATTTACAGTATGTTCAATTCGTGGGAATTACATTTACATGCACGTGATAAAATGAAGGTACACAAAGTCATAAGATTTCAACTAACATTAAAAAAGTTTAAAGTTCATGCAGGAAATGTATAAAAGCGTGTCAACACACATGTTTAAAAACAAGTTCATTTTTTTTTAATAATTGTTTGGGTGTATCTTTTCTGCCAATTATTTTTGTTAGTTATTTGGTTTTTTTTTGAGCAACAAATGGCTTCAAAGTCAGTAACACGTAGATCGAATCCCGCGTTTCTCATGTACGTAACCTTAGCAGCAGCGGCAGTTGGTTTTTTTGCAGCATATGTATACCACAGAGTACAAGCACAAAGACGTGAGGCAAGGGACGACGAGGACGATAATGAAGAGATCAATGGACTGGTAAATGCATACTTTCGAGTTACTTCCGAGTTAGAGACTTTTATTGACTAAAAATTTTTTCAAACCTTAGCCACGAGTAGAGACACGTCGAACAGGAACGAATCAAGAAAGAGATCAAAGGAATCTTGCCTCTAGGTTATTTAGAAGTGTAATTATTCAAAAAAAGAAAACCATTTCAATATCAATGAAGAATGTAAGTTCTTTTATCTTAAATAAATAAAATAATTATAATATTCAAGTTAAAATATTAACAATTGCTAACACACTAATATGCTAATTATGCAAAATCATGGCATGCAAATTATTAATCTAATATCAAGACCTTGCTATGGAATCCATCATCGGATCCAGACAACCCAAATCATGCATTTTTCGAAAACATAGTTCCTTTTCTTAATCAACTCGCACAATTATATGTAATTTATCTTGTCTGCCCAGTTTCAAGCACACAGGAAAAAGAACAAATTCTCACACTACTTCGAAATGCACAACAATTTAGCAATAATGTTATCGATGAGCGAAAGGTTTTGTTCTGTGAAACGGAAGAAGGGAAAATTCATATAATCAGACATCTTGAGACGAATGTTCACGTCGAAGGAGGTACTAACGGAGAAGAATGTGTAGAAATGGTGAGAGGCTTTGTGGGAAATGTTATTTGGTTGTTACATGGAGACAACAATAGAAATGGAACATTGACGGAAAATAGCGTGATAAAATCAAATATTGACAGGAGCCAATGGACCAATGTCGAAGTTTGCCAGAACTTTTGGTCAAGCAGCTTGAGCCATGAAATAAGGAATCGATAAACAATTAATTAAACAATTAATTAAACAATTCGTTAGAGATTATAAGACATAATGACAGGACGAGTGCATTCAATTCAATCTTTACATTTTTGATGCCCAAAAAAAACCAAGTATGGTTTATACTTTGAAATAATTTAAAAAAAAAAATTATATAAAGTTATATATATATATATTGAATTATATACTGTAAATTAGAATTTAAATATTTTTTTTTATTGATAAATAAATTAAATCAAGAGAATTCAATAAATTTTTAATTATTGGGCATTTGTTTTTCGTGTAACATCTCAAAATTCTAGGTTTGTCCTAGGTTTGTCCTGAGCGTGCGTATTCTCACTGCACTAAACACATAAAGGAAATCAGTCATTAAATCTTTATAGGCAAGAAATTTGCATTAATTTAAATATAATGTATATATATGTTTTAATTAGTTTATAAGTTAGGAAGTATCGGGTATATATAGTTAAGAATTATTGTTAAGAAAATATAATTAGGAATATAATTAGGAAATATATATATATATATATATATATAATTATATATATAGGAAATATAATTAGGAATATAGGAAATAAGTATAGAAAGTATAATTAGGATAATTGGTCGACTAAATACAGAAATGAGTAAATTCTTAACAAAATGTGACTGTGTGAAATGTTAAGAGTATGTAACATGATATCATAAATATTTCCAAGTTAAATACCAGGTAACATGATTTGCATAAGTAAACATGCATCTTATCACTTGTTCATTTTTTAACACCGAAAAATTCGGAGCCTAAACCACAATCAATCAATTAAATATAGTGTACATATGAAAAACATTTGTTATTCAAATAAAAAGTAAATAAATAAACAAAGTGTCACTAAACATTTGCACATTAGCCTCAGCGTCAAAGGATTAGCAAATAAGTTCTTTTAGTCTTTTTTTTTTTTTTTTATATATATAAGTCGATATTTTTAATTTAATCTATTGAAAATCCCTTGTCCAACACTTTCTCATTCATTGTGTATCAAATAATAAACAAAAATTTTCAAGAAAAAACCGCATCATTTCTTTTTTTCATTCGCTTTGTCACTCCTGCAAGAATGTCGATGAACTAATCCATAAGTTGATGATTCGAATGATCGATTTATTCCACCGGTTAATTAAAAGAATATTTGATTCGGTAATTGCTGAATTTCCTGATATATTGTTACAAAAAAATCATCTGATAGATCAGTGAGTGATAGATGAATAAGTATCCGATTATATTATATTATTGTAAAAAAGTTGTTAAACTTTTTATACATCCAATACAATGGAACTAGTGGAACTTTAATGATTATTATTTCTGTATTTAAATAATTACAGAATTAAATAATAACAATAAAAAAAAAAAATTTTTTTTTTTAATCACTTGTTTTCTGAGAAAAGCTGCGGTCCCTAATTTTCTAATACATAATACAAAATTATTACACAATATATTTTTGTCATTTTACTTTATATATAACGATTAAAATATGTTATCTCAATGATATGGTCATATCTGATATATATAATCCGTATTTGGATTATTTGGATCTCTGTGAAACTCGATATATGCCCACATATCTTGACGCACTTATGCAAGCTTAGTGGCGGTGACACTCACACCGAGTCCTGACCCACTTGATCGTAGCCAACCTTTTTTTTGTCTTATTAATATCTGTTTTGATAAACCTTTTTTTTTTTTTTCTTACCCCTTACTCCACTAACTCAAAAGTATCGAAACCTTACAAAAATCCCTTTCTTAATTTTAAACTTCTCTATCTTCTTTTAGAGTACACGCTTCGCTTTTGACTTTTCGCCGTCAAACTTCTCTTTAGTTTTTACTGACCTTTAGGCGTTTTGTCAATAATGTCTAACGGTCAACCTCAATCTTGCTTTCAGAAGCTTAATCGAATAAACGAAGAAACATGGTTACAGATGGGTAGGATTTGATTTCTTAATTCCACCCACAGGATGTAGGCGAACATTGCTACTTTATAAACTATGTAATAGAATTAAATTTACCCATTATGAATTTTGCAATAAAAAATCCACTTCTCGTTCAGGGGGCTGCACTGCTCTCCATGTTTATCCATGCAGCTACCTGAAACGAATAGAAATTCTCATTTTTCGCGTGCAACCTTATATACAACAAAATCGTTACTTTCATTTAACCTTCATTTTTTTTTTAAAAGTCGTGTTTTAGAAACTTAATTCAAAAAAATTTTTTCTCATGTTCTAGGTTCTGCAGCAGAGTTGATGCAGGAATATGATCGAGCAATGAATGCTTATGAATCCGCTTTAAGACACAATTCATATTCCATTCCTGCTTTGTCTAGTATCGCTGCTCTTTGTCGTGGAAGAGAACAATTTCCAAAAGTATTGATCATTCATTACTTAATTTTTTGATTTGTTTTTGATTCGTTTTTGGATATAATTGTTAATTTTCTGTTTCGCGTTTCGTAGGCTGTCGAATATTTTCAGAGGATCTTGAATATTGATAATTCAAATGGTGAAATTTGGGGTGCTTTGGGTAATTCGAATCCTCTTTTACTTTTTTACTTGTGTTATTCTTTTATTATTATTTTATTTCACGTGTATTGTCCATCCATTCTTGATTAGTCAAATATCTTCATAAACTTTTAAACCCATTTAAATTATTTAATTATATGACTATCAATATTTATCAAAATCTCTATTATTTTATAGGTCATTGTTATTTAATGATGGATGACCTTCAGAAAGCATACAGTGCTTATCAACAAGCTTTATTTCATTTACCCAATCCAAAGGTGTGCTATTAAAGTCGAATCTTCGACTTGTCATCTATTTCTCACCTTCATAACCTTTTCCTCGATGTTTTTACCTTCTCAAAGGAACCTAAGCTTTGGTACGGAATCGGTATATTATACGATCGTTATGGTTCATTAGACCATGCTGAAGAAGCTTTCTCTCAGGTTATGAATATGGAACCGAAATTCGAAAAGGCCAATGAGATCTATTTTAGATTGGGAATCATATATAAACAACAGCAGAAATATGATCAAAGCTTAGAAGTGAGTTTATCATTATGCATTGATAATGATGTTTTATCATCTCATTAAAATTTTATAAGCTTCATTAAATTATTTGATTTTTATATTTATAAAATAGTGTTTTAAATATATTTTACATAATCCTCCGAGACCTTTAACTGAAGTAGATATTTGGTTCCAAATTGGTCACGTATATGAACAGCAAAAGAATGTAAGCATAAATCATATAAAATTGTCTATTGATTTCCTTCATATATACATATACATATAATATACATATAAATATAATATAAATAAATATATATATATATGTATCGTTAATTTAGTTCATTATAAACTAACTATATTTCATATTCAAGTTTATATCTGCTAAGGAGGCTTATGAACGCGTACTAAATGATAACCCAAATCATGCCAAGGTTCTTCAGCAGCTTGGATGGCTTTATCATCAACAAAGTGCAAGCTTCACTAATCAAGATCTGGCTATCACATATTTAACGAAATCATTGGAGTCTGGTTCGTAGTAATATCCTTATTCATATGGGGCAAAAGAAGGCAGTGGGCAAAAAAAAATTTTTATTTTTTAAACTCAATTTCTCGAAGAATCAAAGTATTAGAAATACAATTTTTATAAAATTACAAATTCAAAATTTTTTGCCCACTGTATTCTGCTCACATATTATTAATAATTATCTTACTTAATAATAATAATGTATAATAAATATAATTATTATTATTCAAATTCAGATGGCACTGATGCCCAATCGTGGTATCTTCTTGGGCGTTGTTATATGGCTCAACAAAAGTACAATAAAGCTTATGAAGCTTATCAACAGGCAGTGTAAGAAAGAACTATTATCATTTACTAATTAGTGAATCATCCATTATTGATTTTTTATTTTTTATTTTTTTTAAATTTAATATATAGTTATCGCGATGGTCGCAATCCCACATTTTGGTGTTCAATTGGTGTTCTTTACTATCAAATAAATCAGGTATAAATTAAATTTATAAATTTATTATTATTTTAAAAAGTTACTAAAAACAATAAAATTATCTTATTGTTTATAGTTCCGGGATGCTTTAGATGCTTATAGTCGTGCGATTCGTTTGAATCCATACATCAGTGAAGTGTGGTACGATCTTGGTACTCTATATGAATCTTGTAACAATCAAATCAATGATGCTCTTGACGCGTATCAACGTGCTGCGGAATTGGATCCAAGTAATCCACATATAAAGCAACGTTTACAAATGTTAAGATCTCAACAAGCAGGTGGTCAAACATCCGCTCCAATTCCTCAAGATGTGAACCCTCAAGCGTATCAATCTAGTAATGGTCCTCCTAACATGCTTGGCGGTAATACTCCAACATTCGCTCAACCTACCCCTGTTCCTCCAGGTCCCCCTGGCATGCCAGGATATGGTGGTAGACCAGTTGATAATCGTCGAAGTCATACTCCTGTTCCTATTCTATCATCAATTCATGGTCACGGTGAAGGTTCTCATCGTGATTTACCTCCAATGAATAGAAGAAGTAGTCCTGGTCCAAATACTTATACTGCTCCGCCACCGCCTCATATTCGTGATAGACCACCAACTCCACCTAATCAACCACATACTCTTAATCCCGTAATGCTACCACATGATCAGAGATCATTGACTTCTCACCAGTCTCAACCACAACCTCCGCCACCTTTACGCCACACTCCGGATAAGCGTACATCTCCTTCTCCACAACTTCCTCAAATTCAAATGCAGGATGATCGACATCCTAGACATTCCCCTCAATTATCTGAATCGTATCAATTGAGACCTAATTTTCCTCCTTCTCCACGGATGATGCCTGATCACAGTAGTTCTCAAATTCCAAGTTATCATCAACATTCACATCATGATATCCCTCCTCATCATTCAACATCTGTTGATCGTCGAGATCCTGATGTTTATGATAAAGTCAGCAAGTCAGAAGAACGATCTAGCAATGGTGTTTCTACTTATCATCCATCTGAGTCGCTCGCTTCAACACATGAACCCCTTCCACCTCTTAATTTTGAAAATCGTGATAATTTAGAACCAATAATGAAGAGACCTGATGAACAAGCTCTCCGTCAAACTGATCATACAAGACCACCACCACTTTCAAGTAGTCACCGTGCACATCCGATTGAACATAGTGAACATAGTAGAATACAAGATGAAGTACCACCAATTGATGACAAAGGAATTCCACCATATTCTTATCATTCAGAAGAACATCATCATCCAAGGCGTCCAACTGATATTAAATCTGAATCTCCTATTGTTCAGAGACCACCTCTTTCTGAATCTCCAGTTAGAGAATCCTACTCTAATGAGCAACATAGTCCAATCTCTAATGTTTCTAATAACGATATTCCTCGAAAATCTTCGACTGATCAACGACCAGAAACACCACGAGAAGTTTCAAAGATGTCAATTCCTTTTCAATCAGAGTCGGAACCACATTCTCCCTCTAGAGAACAAAGTCCACGAGTTAATGAACAGAACAACAATAATAACAATAACAATAACAACTCTACATCCTCAACCAGTCCTCTTGATAATGATAAACCAATATTAGCACCTATTCGTACTAATTCTTCTGGTAATGAACGTTCATCTGGGTCCACAACTGCTCGTACAGTAGATGAAGATTATGATGGAACTGCTAGTACTGCTGAAACTTTAGCGAGCTTAAGGGATCCTGATGTTCAATCGTCTGCTGCACAAAAACGTTCATACTCACCATCAAAAGGGGATGATGATGATCGTCGTGATGAAAGTAATGCTAAAAGAATTAAACCATCACCAACGACTCCTCCAATAAATGAAGATGCACCATCTCCTATATCATCTCATTCAGAACGTCCTGAAAGAGAACGAGATAGACGAAAATCTGAACAAAGTGCTAATGGAAGCAATTCCCCAGTTCCTAGTGGTTCACCTTAAAATGTAATTATGTACATAAGTTGTTTCTCTTTTTTTTCTTTTTTTGCTCTCTCTTTTTTCATTCTCTTTTTCCTTTTATTCTCTTTTTTTCTTTTATTCTTTTTTTTTCTTTTATTCTCTTTCTTTCTTTTATTTCTCTTTTCTTTTTCTATTAATAAAGATTTTTTCGCTAATCCATGTATAAAATATATTTTCACATCCCTATATGTAACTTACATTGTAAGTAATCGTAGGTTACATAAGTTACAGATATGCTAAGACTAATTTTAGCCGGCATTAAGATAAAATTGATCTTATATAAGTTACAATTAAGTGTGCTTTCACGCATCACTTAAATACAATTTTCTAGTAATTGAAATAGTGCACAAAATTATGAACAAAATTTTTAAACTATTTTAGTTAAGTTAACTAAAAGGCCAGTTTTAAGATTAATTTAGATATCAATAAGTAACTAAGTAATATCAATTAATTAAAATTTAACGGTTAACTTTTAACACAATTTAAAATATTATATTAGGCAACCAAAATTATATTTTTTTAATATTGTTTTTTATTTGTTTTTTATCCTGGGTAATGATCAATAAAATTTTATTGAATTATTGGACTATTGGAACTTGGGCCGGTTCAATTCCAATATATATATATATTAATAACTTCTAAAATTTTTTACTTCGAACTTATTTTCTATTAGCCAATAAGATTCATAGTGGACCTTGGTCTAAATTTTTATTGGACTAATCCAAATGTTCCAATTCCAATTAATATATGTCAACATTGCTTGTAAGATAACTGTATGCTCTAAAATAACCAATCATATAGTGTTTATATTATGATTACTTTAAAACTTGTAATTGTCAAATGACTGACTCTGGAGGGGGTTCCCTTAAATCTTAGCTCTTGATTATTTTTCGACATTCTGTACATATTACACATTTACACATTTTCACATTTTTTACAGGAGGATCCTAAATTTCTGGGTCGGAATGACCGGAATGCATCGTGGTTAGGGTCGGGTTAGGGTTTGCGTTAGGGTTAGCAGGAGCTATAGTATTATTAATTATCAGCTGGGAATAGGGTGTCTGGCATAGTGGCAAAGGCATGCCAACGGTGGCATGCCAAAAACAAATTTGGCATGCCACTGGGTACAGTATAACAATATTCAAACCATATATTTGGTATATATTATAAATAATATATAATATTTTATGGCATGCCATGGCACAAATTTTAACAAAAGGCATGCCTATGGCATGCCAAATTTTTTTGGTGTGCCAGACACCCTAGCTGGGTATTTTTTGCTTAATGAATTCTTAGTGATCTTGGGCAAAATCGATCAATTCCGGCCCATCCTACCAGGGTTCCGATGCATCCCGACCCAGAATTTTTGGGATCTCCCTGTATGAGTTTATGTACACCAATTAGTATTTTCGGGTCAAAGATAATTTTGAAGGCTTTAAGTTAGAGTTTGGAGTCAGTTTTACTTTTATTGGTTCTGATGATTTTTGCTGGAAACAATAGTTAATGCCAGTTAACTTTGTTGAGATTATCCTATCGGAACCTGAGTTATAAATCGATTAACTACAGAACTAGTGTTCACCTCGGTAAATTGATTCGCAAGCAAATATGTTTTCAGCTGAGGAAGGTCTGAGTGTTTGTAATGGCGGATGGATGAATGTATCAGAGGAAATTCCAAGTATAAAAGCACAGTGTACTCGCCTTGCTTATCTTCAGGTTGTTTCTGAGTATATTCCTTCTTTATAATAAAGACGTCTGAATGATTCATTTCTCTTGAATTATTTTGTTTGGTACTGCGTACTTATTCTTTGATGTTACTTGCTGAGTGCTTGTATCCGTTATACCGATTATTCTATACATGTATACCCTATTGTCACATATCATATCTTCGTTTACTATCCTAATTTTACTGGCGTGGGGTCTTCCCTTTCCCATTTGGTAGTAACAGGGCGTGGTAATTTACAAGAGAACCACGTATAAATCAATTGCCCATTTAATATAACTTATTTTTTCCCTAATAGGTTAATATACTCACTTTACAAGATATCCTCCACATAATATACCACACAATATTCCAAGGGTATAAAACAAAGTTTGTTGTTACATGGAATGTGATAATTTGATATTTTTTAACGAATTCAAGATAACACTCGTTCACTACTAATGATACATCATTATCGCCATTACGGACATCAAGACATCGCCACAAATATCACCGTTGATGTCACCATGAGCATCGTTACCAATGTTAGCATTTTCAATAAAAATTTTATTTGGTATCTATGTTTGATGATTTAACATTATTATACTGTAGGGAGAATCTCCGAACACTTACCATTTCACGTGAATTTGTACTTACTGAAACCACGTGATTAAAGTATGTACGTACGTACATATCGGTGTGTACTTTAATTGCATGATTTGTAAGTACAAATTCACATGAAATGGTAGACTCTGTCTAAGACTTCTGCTTTTAAAAAGTCTTATATGATTACATGCTTATTTCATATTAAATTAAAAGGGAAAGTCACCGGACACTAGAGTGTCCAGGGTTATGATGCGACGCATAATTTACGATTCTTACAGCAGAGGTCTTTTTTGATTTTTAACAGCTGTTCTACTTCGTTTTAGTGCATCGGGATTGTGGTCGGATTTGCATGAGGAGAGCGCTTTACGAATTCAAAGTAATCAGTGTTGGTTACCCTAATTTTGAGATGTTTTTTCAACGATGTGTTTAATCTTCTAATTTAGCATGGTATATTGTGTAGTAAAATGGTCACGATGTCCCAATGACTATACAAACTCTGTAAACAAATGCCCACTTATTATACTATAACATGTATATACCTATTTGCTTTACTTCTAAAATTTAAACCATGATTTTCTTACTTCTTATATAAAGTCACAAGAAATATGAGATGAAAGATATTATGTTTTTTTGGGAGTTTAACTATGATACTATCATTGTTTCAATTCAATACTAAATGGGCTTGACATTTTTTAGAGACAGAATCAATTTATAAAAAAAAAAATATTTTTTTTTATTTTCAAAGTAGAGCAACTTTTAATTAAGGGCTAGTGTTAACTAGAAAATTACTAGGTTGAATTAAGTGGTATTCTTTTGATAGATGCTCTTGTTTTCTTTAGCTCTGGTATTCTAATTTTGCTTAATAAAGATTTGTTAGTTTTATAGAACAAATAGATTCTGCTTAGAGATCTTTAATAATCTGAATACTTAAAAAATTGTAGAATAATTAATTATGTATTTTCTTTGTTATTAAATGAAAAAAATTTTTCCAATAAACTCTTTTCGATAATCACTTATACCAAAATTTTCTACCAAAGAAAAATACAACTACTGTTGGAGAGTCATGGTCTATGTAGCAGTTTGTCTAGAGTTCAATGTTTACTCTATTGCAGGACTCTTCTAAAAGACATTTGACATGCAAACCAAGAGCATTATTATGCAAGATAACTGGTAGGCAGTGTCTTTGTATAAAAAATCTTGGTGAAAGGGCAAAGTTTTTTTTGTCAATGAAGCTTACTAGACTGTTAACAAAAACACAAGAGAAACAACAACAGTTGTGAACTTCAACACACTTCTTTAAAATTTTGAAAGTACCTAACCTCGAAAACCACTTTCTATATTTCTGCTAGGTTTTTTGATATTTTTTCAAATTTTTTTTCCAAAATATGGGAAATTTAGTGTACCTTCTATGAAAAATCGATATTGCTTATATAACCTAATCAGGAATAGTAATTACATTCTATACATGCGAATTATGGTGAATAACATGTAGTAGATCTGTAGAATAAATAAGAAAATTTCATATTCCCCACAATATAAAACTATTTTAATATTGAAATAAAGTAATGGTGGGAATTGTTTTATGAAGTATTAAATAATTTTTTTTGCTATGCATAGTGTAACAATTAGAAGTTTATTCTTTTGAAAATAGTATATTTATGTTTTTTTTTTTTTCTTTTTGTCCTTTTCTTTTTTTTATATTTTTTGTTTATTTTTTCTTTTTATATTTGGATTATATTTAGGTTTTTGTAGTATTTCCCTTTTTTTTTTGTATTTTTCTTTTTTTAGTTTAGTTTTTTTTATATACTTGTCATTCTTTAAACAAGAATTATGAAATCCTCTTGCTTGGGTATTAAAAAAAGAAGGGTCTTAAGGAAATTAGCAGTCATAACATGCCTATAAATGCTATTTGGTAATCTATTTGTTTTTTTGGTAGCAGATGAGATGGGTAAGGTAATAAAATTCTACTATAGCAGGTCGAATATAGATATACATTTGATACAACCGAGTTAGTCAAAACTTGTAACTTAGATAACTAAAGCAATTGTTTTGGTAAAATTAGTTAGTGATGTAGTTTGTTAATTTAGACAGCATGGTGGACATTCAATTTGATTGGCTTGAAGATCACTGAGTTACATAATATAAATAAAAATTTTTAAAGTAACCCTTACTATAAAAGACCATATCGTTAATTAGCAACTCGTGATTTTATATAATTAAGTTTTTTTTAAACATTTTATAGTATTTTTTACCTCTTTGTATGTCTTTAGGAAAAAAAGATCAGTATAAATCAGTATCCTTAAAAAGTTTACTTAGAGAGCAAATTTAGACAAGTAATATGAAATAATTAGAAGTTAACAAGTTATAAAACTTATTTTTGCTTTTAAAAAATTATTTTTAACAAAAAATTTAAAAAATTTAGAATGTTTGCAAGCAGCTCCCTTACGTGATTAGCTAGTATCATTCAAAAACTATGAATACTGATTTTAAATAGCCAATTAAAGTAATTAGCTAAAGCTAGTTGAATCTGATCAAATCTAGTTTAGTACTCTATCATTGTTCAAACCAAACTAGTTGAGCTGGTTATTATAAAGTCAATCTTAAGTACCTCTTGTGGAATGCAATTTATTTATTTCTTACTTTATAGACATTTAGAACTAACAATATCTAAAAGAAA